AATCCTACTAAATTTCCTTAATCCAATTACAACCAATGAAATTAATTTGTTTTTCTACACATGACATCATATTAGTCAATGGGAGGAAATAAACATAATGAGAAAAGTGCTCATCTTGAGATAGCTTGTATGCTAAGAGAAAGGAAAAATTTAAAAATAATATTAAGACAAATAAAAAATAAAAATGCAAAACATTCTTCAGGATTATGGAATTATTCTAAAAGGGAGACTGTATCTTTTAGTTTTCTAATAGAATAATTTGGGGAGGACTTTATTAAAGATTATCTTTTTGTGAAGTTGGTTGAAATGTTTCTTTTCCCAGGCTACAAAGATCTCCTTAAAGATAAATGTTGTAGGATTATTTTTAATTATTCGGGCTAAACATTTATTTCCTTCTTATGTCCACATAACTTCCAAGGGGATTTAGAACATGGAGGAGTTTCATAGCTGTTTAGAGAAATGAGAACTTTGGACTTCATAATTACAAACAATATTTCCCATTTCTATCTAAGTTCAGGCTATATTCTCTGTGGTATTGAACCTTCCAAGTTGTGTTACAGCAATGTAATGTATTTGTGCCTGAACATCAGAACATTGGCAAATCTCTAGGATACACGGAGGCAAATTTGTTTCAGCTAGCTTTGTTATGAGTTGCTTTTCTTTTTCTATGTGGTTAGTGAATTATCCAATAAAAATATGATTTAGAAAGTAAAATTTTATAAATTTCTCCTGATTCTCAAGTATTTGTAGCTCAAACACAAAACACAATAATGAAGCCTGGCTATTTATGGGCTGACTCCCTGAAACAGTGTCTGGACATTTTTAGTTGTAAGCTTAAGACAATCAGAAAAATGCTCATTTTTGGGGAAATCATGATGAATCTTCTTTATCAAAACCTTAAACCATATCAATATATACTTAAATAGTGTTTAGTGAAAGTAAATTTTTATAAGTGTTGTCATTTATAATCTTTTAAAGTAGTGCTACTTCATAATACTATTAAGTGACTAAGATTTCTGATTAATGATAGGCTGTTTCCCTCTATTTTGTGAAATAATAGTAATGGATAGATAATATTTTATAATACCAAATATATGCCAGATGCTATTTTTAATGTTTTACCATTAATACATTTAAAATTCATATCAATTCTATGTAGAAAGTATTGGTATTATCAAAATTCCATTTTACAGCTGAAGACAATGAGAAAGAGTTTAAGTAAATTACCCCAGATTAAATTTGTCAGGGTCAGAATTTATTTCAGGCACCCTATCCCGCATCAGTCCTCTTTATTATGAAGCTATGCCCCCTTTCAGCAAAACAGTTTGCACCTCAGTTTCTCCTGTTTTGGAAGGGAGCCATACTTTAAACTTGAGTACCTGCAGCCAAAATCTGTTTTTCGCTTAATCAATCAATAATAAAAAGGTTGAGAAGAATTCATATAACTAGCTTGTGGCCAGGGCTTGCTGCATAATTTCAGGGCTCGATACAAAATGAAAACTTTTTAAAAAAACAGGAAAAAGTATAACTATAACCAGCTAAAATATGAAAGGTTATCCTTGCTTTCTCATCATAAGTTTTTGATTGCCGTTTACTATCATTCTAAGAAAAATAAACATTTTAAATTATTAGCTTATATGTCATTCATTTTTTGTCTTGTGCAGTGCCTATTTTAAGTGCAAATATAAGAATGTTAAATTGATATGTGGAACCATCAAAATTACACTGTTCTTTTTAAAATCTTTTTGTAGCTTCCAGATGAATATGTTTCTTTTTCTTATCATAACTGTGGAAACTGCAGAAAACCATTTTAATTTTTAACGTTGCACTTCTTGACACACACTGTACCAAAACTCTCTACCTTTGGCTTACTGATGACTATAGAAAGATGAGAGGAAAGAGCATATGGCTTGTCTTGTTTTATCCTTTCTTTCTATGTCATCTTCAGTCAAAGTAATTTACTAATTCAGGGAAATCATGAGTAAGAAATGATATGAGGTCCCTTGGTTGTTCATGTTTCTCAGAACACCATTATCTTCTTTCTGTATTTGAAATAAGTTCTGATTCAAGTAGACAGCATGTGTTCATGGGGCTATTTAGTGCTCTTATTCACTCAGGTGTGGATATAACACTTACCTTTTACTTAATTTGAGTCTCTAAACTTCTACTTACTGCATTCATGGGCATCATGAGCACTGTATGAACTGGCTAACATGTATTTTACTAATGGGTCCTCTGCTTATGTAAATAATCTATGCTCTACTGGATTTCGCTTACAAAAATGTCCAAATATGAAATTATTGAAAATTTCAGGATACCTGTAACAGCCATTTTGAGTACAAGGTCCTAGTGGCTGAACAGGTTGTATAACTTTGAAGAAAGAGTTAGTTGGGGCCATTAGATGACTGGAGGCTGGACTGTACTGAAACCATTTCTCTAGTCAACTCTAAATACTGTCCTAAAGATAAAAGGGCTTGGCTTTGGAGAGTTAGATGTTGTTGCAAGTGATCAAGAAAGGGTAAGACTGACTTGGAGAAGGTTCTAGACAGCAGCTTTGATTAAAAATTGGGAGAAACCAGCTATTCACAGAAGGCCATTCTCAGTATATACCAGTGATGGCAAAACTTTTAGAGCTCTCAGTGGTATTAATAGCCAGCTGTGGCACACATGCCATAGGTTCACCACCTTCCCCAGCCTCAGGCACTTCCTCAGGAAAGTCTGGATCTCTGTGAGATAGTTGGTTCCAGTGGGAACAGGGTAGGGACTTGCAGGATGGTTTGACAGTAGATGATAAATTAATTGGCCAGAAAACAAGAAATAATGATACTACCACCCTGCCCCATAATCCATGCAACATTTTTTAAAAACACTCCTCACCCACATTATCTCCCTTGTGCACACATCTCCATGATTTCTTTGCAGTAAATATTTTTCCACAGATGAGAAAGCTTAGAAAGTTTTGAGAAATGTTATCCAACAGAACTTTATGCATTGATAGAAATGTCCTATACATGTATTGTAACATGGTCATCACTTAGCACTAATGTCATATAAAGAACTTTTAAATGTTGCTAGTGTGACTGAAGAGCTGAATTTTTCATTGATTTAATTTTAAAAGTAGCTACTGACAGAGAAGCATAAGATCATACATGTGATGCATTCCTTTCCTTCCCCATTCAGTCACTGACTCACCAGGATCAGAGCCTCAGATTATGAAAACTTCTCAAGAGCAAGTTTTAACCACACACTTTTGCCACTGTGGCCCATTACTGCCAGTCAGCTAGCTTGACCTGGTCCTGAGGTCACTTCCTCCTCCTGTGTTCCATTTAAGAACCAGGGAGGCAAACACTACCCACTACATCTCCAAGTAATGTTATGTTGACACTCTTGTTTAAGGAAGCCAACAAGAGGTCTTTTGGACCTGGATATGTTTGTTTGACTCTAAGGAGATTAACAAGACCAGAATATCAGCCACCCCTGGAATGCTAGTCCCAATTCTCAAATTCTCTTCATTCTCTTGGATATTACTCATGTTCTAATAAGCCAAAAAGTAGTTTGAATACTTCCTTTCTATGACTACATGTTGTGGAAATGAATTGGATGAAGCCAATTTGATTAACCTAGTTCCACTCCACCATTAGAAAGCTTATCTAGCACTCTTTTCAAGCCTGAGACAAGTGCCCGTATGAAGCCTGTGAACTCCTAACCAACATTACTGACCACTCCATCCCTAAACAAGTAAAATTAATTTCATTTTAAGCCCAGTCTCATCAATTATTCTCTCAAATCCTGCTAAGTCTCATTTTAGTGTCAGTAGGCTTCACCAGGTGGGAAATATCACTTGCAACTCTCCCTTTTCTGACACCTGATAATGACTCTGTCTCTTTCAGTTGATCTATTTATCATTTATTTAAATACTTCTAGGTACTATAAATATGCTAAAGAAAGTACACATACAGTTTCTACTCCTTTTCAAATTCTCCAACCTCCAACCGAGTATATGAAGGCTGGATTAAAGGCTACATTTACCGCCTGCCCTGCAAGGGCAAGGATCCGAGTTCAATCCCTGGCACCAAAAAAAAAAAAAGCTTCAGTATCCATATAAATCTATCACTCAGATATTTACAAGATGTGTACTAGAATATACTTTGTTTCCTACCAAAAACAAAAGATCTTTCTAGTAATGAGGGAATTTACTCATGATCTTGCTATCTTCTACCCAAATCACTATTTTCCAACTATTAATTTTACCTACTAACTAGCCAAATTTCCTACAATTACTGACACACCAATTACTGACACACCAATTAGAATTATGAGGATTTAGGAACCATTCAAGGGTATAGGTCTCAAGTTTATTGTTTCCCAAGATACATCCCATGAATTTTCCTTATCTTGTATACTTCCTTCTAGTCCAATCCACTCTTCTACCTTCAGAAACACAAGACCTTCCTAACTGGTATTCCCAGCTCCATTTCTATCCCTGCTAATCCACTGCACATTATACAATAAGGATAATATTTTAGAAAGGTAATTATGAACAGAGCATTTCTTTGCTAATTCCTTCAGTGGCTTTTATTGCTCTTAGGTTAAACACCAAATTCCTGACCTTGGCCTACAGGTGCTGCAAGATCTGCCATTTCCTTCAGACTTCCTATTTAAGGCATTTTCTCTTTAGCCCTGAGTTCCTTGGTTACAGGGCCTTTTTACATTCATTCATAAATTAATTTAATAGAGATGGGATAAGAAAGTCCCCCAAAGATATATGACCTCCTAGAACTTCTATTTGAATAAAAGATAAGTGAAAAAAAATATTTCCAGTTGTTGAGGGAAATAGAATGTGTGATCAAAATGACAGCAGGGAAAGGCCTTGCAGTAGAGAAGGTGCTATAAGAGCTTCCCTTACATGCTCCGCTCGACAATACTCTGCCCAAGGATCATCAGTCCTATTCTTTCTAGTGGAACTCTTCTCACCATCTCCTTCCTCAATTTCCATGCAGGCATCTTCTCTACGAACTCTTCATATTAGAGTACAGATGTCTGTTCCTACCTCCACCCCCAGGACTAACTCAAGTTCAAGTATTTCTTAAGAACCAGGTAATAGATGGAGTTGTATTAATCACCTTTGTATTGCTATGGCAAATACCTGAAAACATTAAAGAGGAAATATTTATCTTGGCTCCTGATTTGAGAAGTTTCAGTCCATAGACATTTGGCTTTGTAGTTTCTGAGCCTGTGGTGAAGCAGAAATCATGACAAGGAGGACATGGCAGAAAAAAGCTGCTCATCTCATGGAAGCCAAGAAGCAGAGAGAAGGGAAATAGCCAAAGAGGAAGGGGCAGGGGATTAGATATAGTCCCAAAGTCATGTGACCATGATCCACTCCCTTCAACTAGTTGCCACCTTTTTTTCCATCATCTCACAGTAATGCCATCTACTTATGACCTTATCAATGGATTAGTATACTTGGTGAAGTTAGATCTCTTATGACCCATCACTGGCAACTAAGCCTTTAGCACATGAAGTTTGATAAAAATTTAAAATCCAAACCACAACAAGAGTCCTGACTAAACTTCAGTTCAGAGTGAGTCCACTGTTCCAAGGACCACTCAGTGGTTATTTCTTCAACCCTTGAGTGTAGGTTTAGATTAACGCCCACATTGGATTCTTGACAAAAGAGATAAAATAATAGAGGAGGACAAATGGAAATCTCTGTAACTCTTTCTACCTAAAAACTCACAGAGATAGTATATCAAAACAGTATTTTATCTCAGTGAGATAGTGGGGCTTAGTGCCATATTAACAAGCTTGATGATGCAGAGGTAGTGCTTTAACATACATCAATTTAATTGCCAATCTGGCCTCCTCAGCAAGCAGATTGATTCAGGAAAACAGCTATAGACAAGCCCACATCTAAGTAGATGTCCTGATTGCAGCTGCATCAGATATGGTACTATTGCTAAAGCAGATAAAAAAGGCCTTTTCCATTGCAATGATAAAAAAAGGATCAGAAATAGTTCATAATTGCATGGGCCAGATGACAGTGTTCATATATAGAAAGAGAACAAAAATTCTAAGTTTGAATGATAGATTGATTAGGTAATGGTGTAAGCCAAAAATAGAAGGCAAAAATGTATTAAAGCCAGGTAACATAGTAGGGAGGGCAAATCTTTCCAGTGGAAAGAAGTGTAAATCTGGTCATGTACATTGTATGGCAGGAGAAATGGCCAGAAGTGAGAATATTGATAGATTTCTGGGCAGCAGCCAGTGGTCCAGTAATCTTCAAGATTCTGCAAGGAAAATGACTGGAAGATTGTGAACAAAATTTGTTATAGACAATTGTATTAAGTCAATTTTTTACATGTTTTATATGTTCTTTGGCCTATTAGTCTTATTTGCAACCTGAATATAAATGAATCTGGTGATGGAAAAAATAAAAGGGGTAGAGGGAGAGAAAAAAAAAGAATTGAAATGTGTTATGTACATATACTAATTCCATAGTCAATGCAATTATTATATACTGAAAACATGTACTAATAAAAGTAAAAAAAAGTCTGGTAGAGGGATGTAGATTGGCATGTCTTGTTTCTTTATTATATCATTATATAATAAGAAATATTACCCCTTCTCTCTGCTGCTTTTCTGCATCTCCTCCAGTCATCCCAATCAGAACCAATATATCCTAGTAGGCACAGCAGCACAGGATGTTTTTGTTCTTAGAAGGTAGGAGAGATAGATTAATTATACTTGCTATAATACTTTGTCCATTTCTCATCTTTTAAGCTTGTCTTCTGGTAGAGACTTTTGAAACCATGATTGTATTTCCCCTTGACAGGTGGCATCGAGGTTAGCACTAAGCAGTTTTAATTTTAGTAACAGTTTTACTTTATCCTTCTAATTCAGAGGATTTTTATTCTTATAAAATCCAGTGCCATCCTAGACTGGGATTTAATTAGATGAAACGATTAAGTTACATTTCAGGTTAGTTGGAAAGAGAATATTGTTGGCAGGGCTTTTGGGTTCCAGCCCTGATTCTAAAATAATGGGTGATTCAGGAAAGGTTCTTAAATGAGAAAAATATCTGGGCAAATCACTTACAAAATATCATCTCTGAAATGAGAATCTTTATGGCTTCTGAGATCCCTAAAAGTTTATGCCCTCAGTTCATTCATTCATTCATTCATTTATTCATATATATATATATATTTTCCCAAATGTCTGAGAAAGTAGACGATATTATACATATTTTAGAAATTTGACAATGGAAGCTGAGAGAGTACAGGCGATTTACCATGTTTTAAAGTTGATAAGAGGAATAATTTAGGATTGTAAGCCATGCAGCAAAATGGCTTATGTTTGATTCATGACTCTGTAACTTAGTAGTTGTGTGACCTTGGACAGGGACGTTAGTCTTTTAATTGCAAAATGGTGTTAAGGCCAGAATTTGCCTGATGGATCGCTTGTAACATTAACTATAATAATCCAGGCAAAATGCTTTAATATTTCTCAGCATGTATTCAATATGTATTAAGTAATTATTAACTCATAGTAAAAGACATTTCATTTTTCTTTCAGTATTGGGCTTGCTACTTATTTCTGACTTTTACACCAGTTACCCTTGTAATCTTTCAAACCCATTTTTACTTTGGAATTCTAGTTGCTGAATGATCTGATAAACTACAACTCTCTGTGTCTCTCACTCTCACTCTTGGTCTCGCTCTGTGTGTGTGTGTGTTTTACTGAACAAATTAATGTAAAAGGAGTAATTTTATCATTTTCTATCAATTTCCAGTATCAAAACTGACAAATCAAGACAAGCCAAATTTGATAATGTGTAGAGGGCAAGATCACCACTAACTCACTTCATTTATGTTCTCTTTCAAAAATATATATTTTTAAACAGCAAGATAAAAAAGGAAAATTGTACAGAGAAAGGGCAGTTACTGTAATATATTTCCCCAATGATTGATTGTATTTTCTCACAGGAATTGAAGAAAAAGAGAAGAGAAAATGAGGGTTGATTGCATCAAAAGTGAGACACGAATAAAATAATCAAGAATTCACATATGTCTGTGCAGAAATCAACTAATAAATCAAGAGCATGTTCTTAGCTAAGTCAGATGTCTCTTTGAAACAGCATATGGTGTAATACCAGTATATTCTATATTCAGCTACCTAGCAAGCTGTCTTGTTGCTTTCAAGTAGTGAAGAATATAGTAACACAAATGTTTATAAGGCAGGTAAAACATTTTATTTTGTGCCCTGATTAGCTATTGCTGATTTAATGAATACACTGTAAAACCTAAAATCATAAAGAAGAAATGACCTGTTGGCAGAAGTGAATGTTAATTGTTACAGTATCCTACATTAAACTTATTCATCTTCTTAATAGTTATTTTGGTGTAAGTTTAACAAGTTTTTAATTTTGTATCAAGGCTGTATTGTAGAGAATTGGGGATTTAAATTTCTGCATCACTTGTAGAAAGTCATGAAATTATTTCATCATACTTCAGATCCTCATGATGGTATCATGCTTTAATCAGAAAAGACTATAACACTTAAAAATATTATAATAATGATATTTTACTATAAATAAATAAATCCTAGTATAATTAAAACTAGTTCACATAGATTTTTAAAACTTGATATATTAAAATGTCAGTGACTAAGTGAAGACTTCTGTGGGTGTATATAACTTTTTAAGTAAAGTTATATACTATATTTAATTGACAAGTGTAGGAGAAATATGAATTGTCATTATACTATAAGGTCAATGTTAGTCAATGTCAAATCGAAAAACTATATTCTACTCCTGTATACACCTTGACCAAAAGCTGTATATAGTTTTTGGTCGCTAGTTCTAAATAAGGACAACTTTAAACTGGATATTATTGAGCTCTGTATTTTATCAAATGGAAAAGAGAAAGAAGGAATGGAGGATTTAGTGAAAGGATAATTTCGTGATAGAATAAGGAGAAAAGTAACATTGGTATGATTTTATAACAAGCTCCTTTACACTTTTTACATGTCTATGTGAATAAATCATTCCAAATGAAACTCAAAGACTCTTCTTTGACCACATTCAGTAGTGTCCATGGAATATATGACAAGTGACAGCTAACTCTTTCCTGCCTATGTAGATACTGAAGTAGTCTATTGGCATCCTGTGTCAAGATTCTGCAGCTATTTTCACCTGCTTGTTTTTTCCTCTCATTAACCCAATTCATTATTTCCCAGGGCCATTACTTTTTATTTATTATGTGTTCATGGCACACTGTGTTATCAGCAAAACAAATAATGGGAATATTGTGCTGAAAATCCAAATGGTCAGATGTTGGTGAGACTGGTGTATATGTTATACACTGTATAGTGGGTGTTTTACTTGTGTGAGTTTTCTTCCTTTCTGGTATATAATAATATAATTGAAGAAACAAAAAATGATACTAATGAAGGGTTTCCTCTGTGATAAACACTTTCTCAGTCATTTTTCCTGTGATTTAGGACCAAGACGAATTCTGTTCATAGTTGAATCTTGGGATAGTAACTTACATGTGACTATCCATATGAATGGCCTTTCTTATTGTATATGCAGTTACAATAACTGGTCTTGTCAAGACTTTGACCAAAAATGTGACCCTTTTCTTCTCTTCTGCTTAATTTTCAATGACTCCTTTTTGCCGAATCATACCTAGTTTTACCTAATACTGGACTTAGGATGTCTGCATCCTGTTTGCTTGCCCATCTAGACTTTTTATTGCTTATAGCTGCTTGCAGTAATAATTATGTTCCATCTTCTGAAGCAGCTTCACCATATTGCGGTCTGCCTATCATTAGTTGCTGAGTGTTTAGATTTCCATATTTGCTATATAATTCCCTAATATGCCACATATGGATTCAGAAGTACTCAATTTGTCTACTTTGGAATTGATCCTTAGTACCCTCTTCAGGTCAGCCTAGTTTCATTGTTTGGTTATTAATACATTCTCTGGTTTTTGATTACTGAAGGAGGAATTAAAATGTGAGCAAAGGGATTGAAAACATGACAGCACTAAGAAATTTGAACTTCGTAATTTTTTTTTTTTTGGCTTTGGAGATCTCCTGGATAGATTCTTCCATTTCTTTATTCCTTTGTAAATGTATGGGAAATTTGTGAAGTCTTCATTAACCTGAAGCCAGTAGGTATGTCAGCTCCTAGGAAGTGATTTTAGCAGCTATTTTGAGTTTATCAACATATCAGTAACTGTAATTGCAAGTTTTTTCCTTGTTAATTCCTGGAGTTAGCTCTCTTCTTCCCCTGCTGTGAAATTTTGTACCTCTCCAAAATAGAATACATTTTTTTCTCTGATTCACAAAGCACACTCATTAATTTCTCACTTAGTGATGATTCATTAATCATGGAGGGGCGTGTTAGCTGCAGTGAAAGCAACTCCTTTAATTTAATTTAACAAACATTTATTTAGTATTTAATGTGCAGATCAAAGCGCAAAGCATGAGACACAAAGAGACCTAGTACAGGTGATATGTAAATTATTTTTCACCAGAATAAGTGTTCAATAAACTTTTCTGGATCAAATCTAATTGGCATAGGCATTATTATGACTTTAAATTCAGATTATAAATTCTAACATAAAATGTTTAGTAATAGATATAAACATACTTTTGATTTTTTTCCCCATAGAGAATGAGTAATTTTTTCAGGAGGGAGGGTAGAAACTTATCTACTATTTGTATTTTACCAGAAAACAATACCAAGTTAAGAATTAAATCCTGCAAAATACCACTAATTTTGCCATTTTTTTATTCATTAAGTTTATCGGTACATTTTTATGTATACAATATGATGACATTTCTCATTGTGAATTTGTACCTTTACATGATATATCTTGGTTCTTATTTTTTCCCCACTCCCCTACCATCCCTTCAACCCCTCCACCCCTCCCTATTTACAAAGACTTTGTTTCCATTTTTTTCCTTTTCTCATATTTTTTCCTTTCCCTTCTTTTCTTATGCCTTGTTTTTGTACTCTGGCTTTGGTGTTCATTCTCTTATGTAGGGATTATACAGGGATATAATCAGGGGAATAGAAAAGGAATATTTGAGCAAAACAAGAATATAATGTGAAATCATTTAAATTAAATTAATATGCTAGGTCATAGAATCATGTAATGTTAGGAAAGACAGTGATCTAGGAATGAATCTCATTTCAATCACTTTATAGGTAGAGCCAGGGAGAAGATTTGCCTAAGGTTACACAACTAATTAGAATTAGAAATCAGCTTGTGATTTAATCTGAAACATTAGTGAGGACTCAGAATGATGAGAAACAGAAGGCAATCTAGATAGCTTGAAAAATTGTTGGTCATACCTTTGGGAAGTCAGTAGAACAAAGCCATGGTTTGATCTAAGTACCAATAGGTTTACTTTCATTCAATTTTCTTCTTTTTCCACCTTGAAAGTCGGGTTCTCTTTCTGGTGGCCTCATTTTCTTCTACTGGGGACAGGCTTCATCCATGCTGCTAGTAAAAATATTCACATGTAGCCACAGATTAATGCATTCCTAGCTTACCAACTCAATGAAAACCCTGAAATAAAACTTTCTCATCATTTGTATGTCTATCAAAATTCTGATTGCCCAAGCTTGGATCAACAAATATGCACTACCTTGACAATTGCCATGCCCACTGTGGCAGTTGACAAGGCATGCCTTGCCAACTTGATCATAGGTTCACCCTATCTTGGATAGGAAAGCCAATCCACTAAAAGAAAAAGGGGAATAAAAGGAAAGTGTTTTGAATAGACAAAAACAATAGCTCCATATCTCATTACTTTAGAAAAAAAGCTAAGATATTTTCAAATGAGTCATGTAATTAAAGTAATACAGTTAAACCTGATTTAATATTTTTTAAATGTTTCAATAAAGGGAATATTAATTAGGATATTTTTGCCATATTGTATCATATTGCAAACATTGAATAATTTTAATCAGCATAGTACACTATTTTTTTAATAACATATGACCCAAACATAGCCAGTTGTAATTAGCAAACACAACTTACTTTCTACCTTCATCTTTCTTATTTTCAGCTGTAAACTTCAACTGTAACTTCTGCTAGATAAAGAAACATTTGCAGGGAATCTTATTGTGCATATTTACTTCATCTTTTTGATATTGTTTCTTAGTATATTGCAATGGGTATTAATAAATTAATTAATGAGTAATTACGATATTACTATGTACAAAATAATATAATTTTTTTAAAAAGCTAATGCTTTTTGAAAGTTTATCTCTTTAACATAATTACTTTTATGTCTATGATCAAATTCAGTCATTGTAGTTCCATATACTATACAGTCATTGAACTCTTAGGAAACTCTAGAATTAGAAGATAAAGGACTGCATAGAAAGACGTGCATATACACATTCATAAGCAAACAAACATCTGATTTTGAGGCAAAGGGAATTAACATTACTCAACCACTTCTAGAACATACTGCTAATCTTTAATTCTCTTTTATGATGTGTTTTTCCTACATAATTATTTAAGTAATAAGCCTAGTGTAATATTGAGTCTTGAGGTTTGTTCAGATACTATGGTCTTTAGTATCAGCTCTTTTTTTAAGTATTATTAATTTTATTGGTAAATTTAAGGTATACAATATAATGACATTCATCATCGGAAATTTGCTCCTTTACATAGTCCATCTTGGTTCTTATTTTTTCCCCATTCCCCTGCCCTCCCTTCAACCCCTCCATTCCTCCCTATCTACAGTGACTTTGTTTCCATTTTTTCTTTTTCTCATATTGATTCCATTCCTTTCTTTCTTTTCCCCTATCCCTCCCACTTCCATTTCCCCCTTACACCTTTTCTTCCTATTTCACATTATCTATTATACCTTTTAGTCTTTATTTACACTTTCAGTTTCTCACACTAGACAAACTATTCGGTGTTTACGCATATGTGTCCTATTTCTTTCACTTAAGAATATCGCCTCAATGTGCATCCATTTAGCTATAAATATCTCTAGTTTCTCGTTCTTTATGTCTGAATAATACTCCATTTCATTAAAAAAAAAGCACATTTTCTTTATCCAGTCTCCAGTTGATGGGCAATTGGGTTGCTTCCAAGTTTTAGCTATCATGAATTGTGCTTCTGTGAACATGGTGCACATATATCACTGTGGTATGATTCTTTTAATTCTTTGGGGAGGATACCCAGAAGGGTAAGACCTGGGTCAAATAGGACTTCCAATCCTAGTTCTTTGAGTTGTCTCCAAACTGATTTCCACAGTGGTTGCACCAGTCGACACTCCCAGCAGCAGTGGAGCAGGGTTCCTCTTTCCCCACACCCCCATCAGCATTTGTTATTGGTTGATTTCATAATAGCAGCCATTCTTACTGGGATGAGGTGGAATCTCAGCGTTGTTTTCATTTGCATCTCTCAAATTACCAGTGATGTTGAACATTTTTTCATATGTTTATTTGCTATTTCTACTTCTTTGAGAAATGTCTGTTCATTTCAGATGTCCATTTTTGGATTGGGTCATTAAATTTGGGAGGTCTGATTTTTAAAAATTCTTTATAGATTCTAGATAGTAGACCTTTGTCTAAGGAACAGCTGGTGAAAATGTTTTGCCACATTGTGTGTTATCTTTTCACACTATTGGTGGTTTCTCTTGCTGTGCAGAAGCTTTTTAGTAAGAAGAGATCCCACTTGTTGATTGTGCTAGTTCATGAGCAACTGAAGTTTTGTTCATAAAATCTTTTCCTACACCAGTGTCTTTCAGAGTTCTACCTAACGTCTGTTCCAGCTGATTCAGCATTTGTATTTTAATACGTAGATCTTTAATCCATTTCGATTTTTAGTTTAATGCATAGTGAGAGATACAGGTCTAGTTTTAATCTTTGACAAGTTGAAACCCAGTTTTTCCAGCACCATTTATTAAAGAGGCTATCTTTCCTCCAGTGAGGGTGTTTGGCTCCTTTATCGAAGATGAGATGGCTGATTGTGTCTGGCGTTGTTTCTGTATCTTCTAATCTGTTCCACTGGTCCTCAGGT